GCGAGAATGCTCCCTAGAAATGAGAATGGGGAGACTTCATCTGAGGCACTTGAGACATGTTATCAGAAGGGACCAGTCCCTGGAGAAGGACATCATGCTTTGCAAAGTAGAGGGTCAAGGAAAAGAGGAGGAGAAGACCTTCAACGAGATGAACTGACACACAAACTTCAACAATGGACTTGAGCATGACGTCAGCTGTGAGGATAACACAGGGCTGGGCAGTGTTTCATTCATAAATTGGTAACCAATTTATCAATACGTAAAAACAGTCACAACATAAATTGGAACTTAGCAGCTAGAAACTACTATAATTTGTTAATACATTTTCATAAATAGAAGTTGCATAACTATTTGTAATTAGTTTTATGCTAGCATTAAACTATACACCAAATCTCACACGTGGGATCATCATGATCCAAAGCAAAGGATGTAAACATATATGATAGATGGTAGTCTCAGTTAGAGACAAACCAAACTGGAAAAGAGAGGATGTGTGGGAATACTGCTTGTGTAGGTCAAGACCACAAAAGCCAGAATAAAGAGCCACTGTACCACAGAAGAAAGATCTGGTAATCTTGTTTCTGTAAAGACTTGTTATTGTCATTGTTAAGTACCGTGGAGTCGGTTCCAACTCATAGTGAGCCTGCACAGGGTTTCTGAGGCTATACATCTTTACGGGAGCAGGAAGCCTCATCTTTCTCCTGCAGGACGGCTGGTAGTTTCGAACTGCTCTCTTTGAGGTTCACAGCCCGATTCATAACCACTACGCTACCAGAGCTCCTTAAAAATTCCATTGAGCAATTATACTCTGTAACAGCCAGGGTCGCCACAGTCAAAACTGGCTCAATGACCATGGGCTTGCATTTTTGGTACACTGCACAAAGTTGTCTTATTAAAAAGGGTTATAGTCTGTTATGAAAGGGATCACATTAGAAAGTCCTGGCTACAGTTGCAGGAAAATGTGCAGCAAAACTCAAAATCGTAAAGACAGAAAAGGCTTACTGATCAGACAGAGATGGATGGAACCCAAAATGGTCTTTGGAACTGAACTCACCTCTTATGGCTCAGTTTTTAGCTAAGCAATAGCTAGGTATACAGCGGGGAGGCAATACCAATAAGGTGCACACACCATAAAATAGTCAATCATTCGAGATCAAAGGGCAGCATTTCCCTGAGGACAAAATTCAGAAGGGTGGGGAAAAAAGAGGGAATGGAAAGAGGAATCCAGGGAGGAAGTGATGTTACATTGAGGAGATAGCAATCATTGAAATGAAATGAAGTGTACAGACTTGTTTAATGTAAAACTGATGATCGCCTCTGTAAACTTCCACTCAATTGAAAACAAACAAACAAAACAGTTACGGGGAAATCAGTCTGTTCAGGCTGTTTATAGTGAAAAGAGTCAGATAGTAAAAGTATGAGGTGATCTAGTTTGATCTGAATGAACAGTTCTTAAGTCTTGTTGCTGTTGTTGTTGTTGTTAAGTACCGTGGAGTCGGTTCTGACCCATAGTGACCCTGCACAGGGTTTCCGAGGCTGCAAATCTCTATGAGAGCAGAACGCCTCATCTTTCTCCCGGGGAACAGCTAGTACTTTTGAACTGCTGACCTTGAGGTTGGCAGACCGACTCGTAACTCTGATGCTACCAGAGCTCCTCTGGTATGTAGTAGTTACACCTTGAGAGTCCCAGATAAAAGTCATAGACCAGTCCTCAGAAATAAGCAGATATACATAAGCAAAAAAAAATGTTCTGCGTATACTTTCAGGACATTAAAGAACGCTCCAAGTCCAAATTCTTGGGGGAAAATTGTATTCTAAGAAGATGGTATTTAAAGAAGGCAAAAGAATGAAAAGTCAGGGGTAGGAAGGAACAACAACAACAACAACAACAAACAACGGAAACAATTTTGTATTCAGGAAACATTGAGTTCATCTCCCAATTAGTGTGTTATATGGCCCCAGGTAGAGTAACTGCTCTATTCACCACTGTTCACAGGTAGCCAGCAGTATCCTTTACATACTTTTACTGAACGGTTGAAGAAGTGTAATGAAAGAAACCCTTCAGTTGATTACTGCAAAACATTTGCAAATGATGATGGAATTTTAACCAAAAATGGGTCTGAAAATGAGTGCTGTTTAATGACATATCTCGATCTTGGACGCATATAATAGACTATGGCCTCTACCAGCTGCTCTGTAGGCCATTGTTTCACTGTATGTGAGAAATATACATCTATAAAATCTCTTACTCTATTTGCTATTTATCTTCCCTTTTATTCCCATAAACTCTCTATTGTTGTTGTTGTTAAGTGCCGTTGAGTCGATTCCATCCCGTAGCGACCCTGTATAGGGTTTCCAAGGAGCAGCTGGTGAGCTTGAACCACTGACATTACAGTTCAGACGGCTTTGCAGTCTAGCACATTAACCCACGGCGCCACACCAGGACTCCTCTATAAGGCCACTATACGTCAGAATCAACCCATGGCAGTGGGTTTGGGTTGGTTTTTGCTTTCTCTGATAGGGTATTCCGTTTCCTTTAAGAATTCTGCTAAGACATTCACATTCTATGTGCAGATGATACCAAAGCAATGACTCTGTCACGACCCCTCAATCTTTCTCCAGCCCCATCTCTGGGTTGCCTATTGGGAGGTTTTTTATAATTTCCTGGGATCTCTACAATTCAGATTGTCTATATGCATCTCTTTTTTTTTTTTTTTTTGTCAACTTTCTCATAACTTAACTCCAGTGCGTGTGCTCAGAACCCTATATTTTCAAGCTTCTGGTTATAGTAGTCCTTAATCTTTTGGACCCCAGGATCTCTTTGGGATTCTGGTGAATGCTATGGAGTATGGGAGATCCCTATAAACATTTTCCTTTGTTTGATTAAGATCTATCATATTGAAAGACAGAATAAGATCATTCTTATTTACTGGTGGTGTAACTTGTCAAATATGAAGATTATTTGACGGTGAATATTGAAACCAAGTTATTTCGATCGTATCTTCAATGATGACAGCGAAACCATCTGAATCTGAACATTTCGTTTGTGAAAGGTTTTTGCTAATTAAAGTGATTTCCTGAATAAATATCATTGTTATTTGACTTATAATGACCCCGTGTGACATATTGTTTTTGTTAAATGCTGTCAAGTCCGTTCTGACTCATAGTAACCCTGTATAGGGTTTCCAAGGAGCAGCTGGTGGGTTTGAACTGCCAACCTTGTGGTTTGCAGTCCAGTGCTGATCCTACAGCACCACATCATGTGACATATCAGAGTTACCCTAAGGTTTTCTGATGCCAATCTAACCTTCTTTCTTATGTTTACTGTTTGTATGGTAGATCTCTTTTCATCTACTTACTTTTACCTTATTTGAGTTAGTTGAACACTGCTTTTTTAAAAAATCCATTTCGATCATCATCACTGCCTTTCACTTTGAGTGTGTATCCTGTTGGAATGGAATGGAATTAGTGATGTGGTAGGCTTTAGAGGAACCGTTGTATAATTTGTTTCTGTTTGTCCTTCTAGTTTTTGTTCCTCTGTTCCTCCTTTCTTGCCTTCTTTTAGGTTATTTGAATATTCTTAGGCATTGCATTTTAATTTATTGTGTTTTTTAGCTATACTTCCTTGTACTATTTTTGTTCATTTCTCTAGGTATTGCAAAATCATCTTTAATCTTGCACAATCTAATTATATTTAATACTGTTACACTGTATGCAGATTTAGAATCCTTGTAACTCTTCATCAATCTCTCCTCTACCCCAGTTAGCCTTGTGCTAGCATTCTAGTCATCAATTGTATTACATCTATCTGCCTTAAAATGATCACAAGACAATGTTATCATTTTCCCCTAAACAGTAATATGCACTTTTAAGAACTTACAAAGAAAAAGAAAATCCTTTCTATTTGGCCAGATATTTACGTTCTTATAAACAAATTAAGTCAATCCTGCTCTTTACAAACTTACGCTCTTTCTACCCTATTATGAGCAACGTAAATCCAGGAACCAAGAATCTCCTTGGGACAATGGTCTAGCCATGAGGAGATACTGAATGTCTAAATATGAAATGTGTTTGGGGGCAAGTGCAAATGGAAAAAGAAAATTGCAAATTCTGTACACGTAATTTTACACACACAATATATCTATATTTGTGCTATAAATACTAATGAATGTTTGTAATATAGAGTATAGTTTTGATGGTTCACAATGTTTTAATTTTTCTAAAAATTATAAATCAAATAGTCCTTCATTGAATTCCCAAAGGAATTCCATTTTCTCTCAAACTACTGCCATTTACGGATGGTCTTTTACGTTACAGTCATTTGGAAAAGCAACTTGCATAGATTTTATTTTATCAAACTTTATAGCGACACCACAGAGTGGGCATTGTTCACATTTTACAAATGAGAAAACTCAGGGTCAGAGAGATGAAGCAACTTGTCCAGGCTTAGATACCTATTTACACAACCGAGATGGGAATTTGAATACAGACTACATTCTTTTCACTCTTTCTCCCGTTAAGAGTCCCTGGATGGCACAATGGTTACAAGTGTGACTAACCCAAAGGCATCCATCAAGGTCAGAGGCATGAAAACCCTATAGCACAGCCCTACTCTGACACACACAGGGTTGCCATGAGTCAGAACTGATTGGAAGGCAACTGGTTTTAGTTACCACCCAAGGAGAATTTGATGATCTGCATCTCCCAAACAGTGTAGATGGGAGAGAGGAAGCAAGGTGTTGTTATAAAATATAGCATTCATTCAAAGACCAGACAGGTGCACTTGTTCCAATTGGCTGCCCAATCTTGCAATCCCCTAATTTCTCTCATCCTTCTTTCACCATGTCTAAAACAGACATAAAAGCATGTTTTGCAGTAACTTTCAGAACTGTTCTAGGAATACAATCAGAACAAATACAAGGAAAATATGAGTGATTGTAATGATAATAAATGTAAAGGCTCAGTTTACAAACTAACACTTCCTTTTCTAAGTTTTACAGCTACGACTTCAACAGAGAAGAGCCCAGGAGCAACTGGCTAACCAAGGCATAATACCACGTGAGTATCTGTGTTCTTGTGTCCTGGTGGATTGTGGTAGGATGCATAGTGTGTTTGGGAGCTGTTTGCACCTCAGGGAATCCCAGATAGTGAAAATGGTTAAATGCTCAGTTAGTAACCAAAATTATGGAGGCTCGAGTGCACTCAGAGACACCTCAGAAGAAAGTCCTGGCTATTTATTTTTGAAAAAAACATCTATTTTTGGAAAACCCTGGAGCATAGTTCTACTCTGACATACATGGAGTCTCCATAAGTCTGAATCGACTCAAAAGCTTCTGTTTTTTTTATTTTTTAAGTTCATTAGAATCACTCAGTGTAAGCCAATGTATCAGTCTCCCAAGATCTTCACAGTATCTGTTTCAGCAGAAACTGTAGATCTTTGATGCTTTGCCCCAACTGCTAAAATCCTCCTGCCATTGAGTAAATTCCGATTCATGACAATCCAGCATCTACCTTATAGGCTTGTATGATCGGTTTATCAATTAATACTTGCATATACAGTTGACCCTTGAACACCACAGAATTGAACTGTGTGGGTCTACTTATTGGAAATTTTCTTTTTAAGTGTCATGTGACTCTAGTCATCTCCACATGAAGAATCCATCTCTAGTAAACTGTGTATCACAGCAAAAAGTGATCACTCAAAAGAGCTCACGTTGGTTTCATTGTGTTTACTGCAAGACCATAAGGAGCTCTGGTAGCGTAGTGGTTACAAATTGGGCTGCGAACCTCAAGGTCAGCAGTTCGAAACTACCAGCTGTTCCACAGGAGAAAGATGAGGCTTTCTGCTCCCGTAAAGATTTACAGCCTGGGAAACCCTGTACAGGGTCGCTATGAATCGCAACTGACTCCACGGCATATAACCACCAACAACAACCACTACAAAACCATAAACCTTGAATAACATCATGGGACTCACACGAAGTGCCACTAGAGGTTCTGAGGGTACTCCCAAGAAGCAGAGAAAAGTCGTGATGTTACAAGAAAAAGTGAAATTGCTTGGTATGTACCGTAGATGGTGGTCTGCAGCTGCAGTTGCCCGCCATTTCAAAATGAATGAATCCAGCATAGGGGCCATTGTAAAAAGAAAAAAGAAAAAGGAAAGGGAATTTGTGAAATGCCTTTTTATTTCATACTGAAAACGCAGCTTTTATGTGGGTGTAGTTAACGCATACATATTAATACCTACAACATACAGAAAACATATTAATCAACTTTTTGTTATTGGTAAAGCTTCTGGTTAACAAGTTCTGAAGAAATCAAAAGTTTTTTTTTTACCTGCACTTGGGGTTGGTGCCGCTCACCCGTGTGTTGTTCAAGGGTCAACTCTATATTTGCATATGACTGGCAAATATTATTTTTAGCAGTATTGTATTTGGTTTTGTTTGTGGGGTTTGTTTGTTTGTTTCATGTTGTTAGGTACTAGCAAGTCGATTTCAACTCATAGCAAGACCATGTGACAGAGTAGAACTGCCCCGTAGAGTTTTCTAGGCTGTGATCTTTACAGGAGCCAATCAGCCACAGAGCTGCTCAAAATGACCTTTACAGGAACCAATCACCTACAGAGCTGCTCAGAATGACCTTTACAGGAGCCAACCACCCACAGAGCTGCTCTAGAGGCTCAAGCTTCCAACATTTCCATTCACAGCGGAGCGCTTAATTGTGGCACCACTAGGCTCCTTGTGCATTTGTCTAGCAGTTTTTTACTGGACTGTTCTCTGGTTTGACTTTGCCCTTTAATCTTCAGATCTGTTGTCTGTATTTCAAGAACTGCCAACCCTTCCTCTTTTTACTCCATCCTTATTGTTGTTGTTGTTGTTAAGTGCCGTGGAGTCGGTTCCAACTCATAGCGAACCTGTACAGGGTTCCGAGGCTGTAAATCTTTACGGGAGCAGAAAGCCTCATCTTTCTCCCGCGAAGCAGCTGGTAGTTTCGAACTGCTGATCTTGCGGCTCGCAGACGGATTCATAACCACTACGCTACCAGAGCTCCTTATTACTAATGGTCCTCAATTTTTGTTTTTTTGTTTGTTTGTTTTTTAAGCCAAGCGACTATAAACTTTTTGACATAGGTGCTCAGCCCACCATCTTGCCATAGCCTTAATTTGTCTTTATGATGACTTCTTAGGAAGCATCTCAGTGACACAGTGGTTAAAGCATCTAGCTACCAATTAAAAGGTCAGTGGTTCAAGCCCACCAGTCACCCATAGGAGAAAGATGTGACAGTCTGCTTCCCATAAAATGTACAACCTTGAAAACCCTATGGGGCAGTTTTCTGTGCTATAAGAGCCCTGTGAATATGAACCCCAAGTGTTATTCACCTGTATTTAAAGCTTCTCTTAGTGATATAGGCTGTGTCTAAAATTCCACTGTGTTGAGTTTTGTTTTTAAGACATACAAAACCTTATTCTGCTTTAAAAATTGGATATAATCACCATTCTTTTCTGAAGCACCATTCACATAAACTTTTTTCTCACCTTCTTGGTTGTAGTTCTGTTTGGGGTACTTTATAGTCTCCTATCAATAGGAGTTCTGGTGTGGCACTGTGGGTTAATATGCATCAGGCTGCAAAATCATTTGAACTGCAAGGTCGGTGGTTCAAGCTCACCAACTGCTCCTTGGAAACCCTATTCAGGGTCGCTATGGGTCAGACAGAATCGACTTGACAGCACTTAACAACAACAACAACATCCATTAAATATTGCCAAGTGCTTGCATTCTGGAAGACTGATTATCAATGCCATTCTAACAAAATTGGTGTCATCAGAGTCAAGAAAGAGCTCTTTGGGGAGAGATATTTGAAATTCCTACAAAGTCAGCAGTAAAGTTAACTCTTGGTTCATGTGTTCATGATAAATGAAGTCAGAATTTAAACCTCTTTAGGTCATAGTGTCCAACTTCCTTCCAAATAAAGTTTAAAAAATCAAGATCCACATGACAGTTAGAGAAATCCAGGTCCCTGTATGATACTATGACAGTTAGAGAAATCCAGGTCCCTGGATGATACTGTCATGGCTTTTATGACACAGTTTAGTAGGAAACAAGTTGAAGGTTGTCCTTGGTGCTTTGTCTGGTAGTTTTAACGACATTGGAGCCCTGGGCTCCGTGGCCTAAGAACTGGAGCAGAACTGAAAAATGTTCCGTGTTTTTCTTTCAAAAGATTTTTTCTTTTGTAAATCAAAAGTTGCTCTCTGTTAATGGCTGAAGCGACGCTAGACTGGTCAGTGGTTCAAATCCATAAGCTATTCTTCAGAAACCCTATATAGGGTCACTAGGAGTTAAAACTGACTCCAGGCACTTTACAACTACAAAAAGATTATTGTAGAACAAACTTTTAAGAGATTTGCTAGGCACAAAGAAGACAGTTCACCCTTAAAGACAGCTTAAGTGATATTTACAACTATGAGAAACAGAAGGAACAAGTTTACATGTGCCCTTTTTGGTCATATTCAGTCCTCCTTTGGAGGTGCTAAAGATAGGAACAACCAAATGTATGGAGACTTCACGTCAGGTAAACACCACTTCAGGTCTTTGGATAACCCAAATGGTTAAGCTTAATTACTAGCTGAAAGATTGGCAGATAAGACCTAGGGAAGGTGCCTCAGAAGAGGGAAGTGACAGTCTGCTTCAGAAAGATAGCAACAACTTTGGAAAGCTGTGACCACGAGTCGGAACTGACTCACCACCAAATCAAAGCAATCCTTGCTGTTTCTCTCAATGTTTACCACACCAGGAGTTCACCAAATTCTACTGGCTAGTGTATAGAACCTAATCTGTGAAACCCTATGTAGAAGAATTATTCACAAAGAGTGATTCATAGGCATGTAGATCTAAGAAAGGTCCTTTCATCATGACCATAAATAAATCTATGATGAGCACATTGATTTAAATAGCATTAGGACAATCTATTACCTCACTGGTGCCCTTTAGGAACATCAAAGGGAGTCGATAGGGTTCAGAAGTAGAGTTCTTGCCTCCCAGTCATGAGCAGCCAGTATGGAGTGGTCAGGAGTTTGATACTGACTCTCTTCCAGCTATAACAACAAACGGAGTAGATAAAACAGGTTCTGTTAGTCAGGCCCAAATTGTGCATGACTCATGTGCTTTGGTAGCGTAATGGTTACGAATCGGGCTGTGAACCACAAGGTCAGCAGTTGGAAACTACCAGCTGTTCCTCAGGAGAAAGATGAGGCTTTGTGCTCCCGTAAAGATTTACAGCCTCAGAAACCCTGTACAGGGTCACTATGAATGGGAACCGACTCCACAGCACACAACAACAACAACAACATGTGCTTTAATACTCTGAGTCTTAATAGCATTTGGATGAGAATAAGTGGTTTTTTTTTTTTGAAATCTATTGGATGAAATCTCTGAAAATCAGTAAAAAAAAAAAAAACAGCTAACAAAATTAGGAATTAATTTTTTAATGTGATGTGTTTATCACATTTTGAAAGTTCGTGGAAATTTTTTATTATCTTTTATTATTTTTCCACAAACTTTTTGAAGTCCCCGTGTTTAAGATGTATAAATTAAATATCCGTTTGTATTGTTGTTGCTGTTAAGTGCCGTTGAGTTGGTTCTGACCCATGGTGGTGGTGGTGGTTATGTGCCATGGAGTCGGTTCCGACCCATAGCGACCCTGTACATGGTTTCCGAGGCTGTAAATCTTTATGGGAGCTGAAAGCCTCATCTTTCTCCCGCAGAACAGCTGGTAGTTCCAAACTTCTGACCCATAGTGACCCCATATAGGGTTTCTGAGCAGCAGCTGGTGAGTTTGAACTGCTGACCTTGTGGTTCAAACCGACCTTGAGGTCAAGTGCTTATCCTACCTACAGCTCCACACCAGGACTCCAGCCATTTGTTCAGTGGGCTCCAATACAGACACATTTTGGTCTCCAGAATTTCCAGAATGAAATAGGGTACATAGTCAAGAAATAATGCTTAGAAGAAATTTTGTAGCCATAGTTAATTTTTATTAAGATAGTTTCTGGCAAATAGACC